AAAGAGCGAATACCTAGGAAGTCAGATAAGTCAGGGTGGAAGGAGTAGTAGGATGATAATAAGCAGAGGATAGCGCAGGGTCGGGCCGTCTTTAATAAAAAGAAGTCACTTCTATGCACGTGAACGGTTAATTTAGAAATTCGAAAAAGGTTGTTAAAGGTGTATGTTTGGAGCACAGCGTTGTACGGGTGCGAAACATGGACAGTGGGCGCGGCGGAAAAGAAAAGGTTAGAAGCGTTCGAAATGTGGTCTTATAGGAGGATGATGAGGATATCGTGGGTAGAAAAGGTTAGAAATGAAGAGGTATTGGAAAGAATAGGAGAACAGAGGACTCTATGGAAGTCAATAAAAAATAGGCGATATAGGTTGGTAGGACACCTTCTGAGGCATGAAGGTCTAGTCAGAGACATATTAGAGGAAGTTAGGAGGGGTAGAGGTAGACCTAGATTAGATTACTGTTCGCAAATAGTTAAGGATGTGGGTTGTTCTAGTTTTAGGGAAATGCGAAGTTTAGCTCAGGATAGGCAGGACGAGTGGAAGTCCAAGTGCAATTTGACTAGTTCTGTTAAAATCATCTAAAAATTATGAAGCAGGAGGATGAAGGCCACACACTTGAGCGGGTCTAAATTCATATACGATTTTATATATAATTTTATTATATTAACGGAATAATAGAAATATGACAATAAGATATAATAATCTGCATGTGTTACTTGGTTTTATGTGATATCGCACAATTTTAATGGAGTGTTGAAGTTATTATCCTTTCATTCCAAACAACGATCATTAAGGTCAATTACAATTATTTATCATATGTATGTTGTTATTTAAACATTTGACAATATATTTGATGCAAGAAGGTTATATACGTATGTAGTTATGACCATTATAATCATCAAAATATTTTGCAATTTTAACTTTGCGTTAAGTTACAAGAGCTTAATGTTTTCTCGATTCAACAGGGTTCTATTCCGATACCGAATGAAGAATAAATAGAAAAATAAATAACGAAAATCCTACATGAACTGCTCCCTATACAGTCTTTTCATACATGTACATCAAAAATCTACTGCAGACATAATTTCTTGCAAAATTATATGAGATTCGACTTATTACCGCCTAATTTGATATTATTTGAACTTGCTTTAAAGAAGCTGCTTCGATCTGATTGCATATGATGTACTGATGAGATCCAATAATAATATGTATCACACTTTTGTGGCGGAAACTTGATGCATCATGCATTACTCTGTAATAATTTACACAAATAGAAGAAGCTGCTAGCTGGGTTAGGAGACAAAAATGATGACTGTTATATAAAAATGTTGTTAGAAAGAAATTTACGATATTCAGGAAACCGCCTGGAATTTTTGGATGTGTTTAACAGTCAGCGCCAGTTATTTTTAGAGATTAACTTATTAAAAAATGCTTATTTAAAAATAAATTAGGACACTCATAATATTTCCATATGTCGGAACTGGGAATTTCATCAGTGAGAGATGTATCTGTCCCATCAGTAATACATATAAACTTGTATTTCAAAGAATCCATCTGGAAAAGTTCTTTTTAACGTCAACATTTTGTGGAAACTGTAAATCTGTTCAAGTTGGCATTAAATTAGGAGGTCTTAACAAGCGGATTCTTAAAACTACCCTACTTATTTACCGGAACTAATAGAGTTAACATCCTTTGAAGGACAATGACACGAAATAAGCACCAGCCTACGTATATAGATATTCAAAGAATGACCGCAAAAATAGGCCAAAAGTTGACCATCTTCTCTATGATCATTAATGAGGAGAGCATGTTAAATACAAAATTTAAAGATGAGAATATCGTTGGTTTCTGAAATATGAGTAATTGAAGTTGCAATATGCATGATGTAAATGTGATATTGAAAAATCTCTATATTTATTGATTATCTGTATAGAACCAGAAGAATCCTCTACATTAGATTGAAAATAGGGACCAGGCACTTTCTGGAACATGAAGGGTTAGTTAGAGTTACAGTAGAAGCAATAAGATAGAGAAAGATTTAGATTGGATTAATATTAATTAAAAATGTGGGATCGTCTAGTTTTCAAGAAATTCATTGACTTCTACTGACCACTTTGTGATGACGATGATTATATAGGTGCATACATTCATGCATAAACTTACATAACGTATTATTTTTCTTGTAACTGCTTTGAATGATCGTTTGAAAAAAAACTTACAAACAAATTTGGAAACATTTAAATAAACATGACATACAGGATTTCTCAAATCCATCCGATTCGGTCTCTTCCTGTATTCAAGGTTATCAGATGTTTACAATAAATCTCTAATACTAAAAATAAAATACAACACTAAAACAATCGTAACAATTTTACTACAGTTACTACCCATTGTCGTTATTTACTTGCTAGACTAATAAAATTATCGCTTGGTTTCATAACGAATCGTTCGTTCATTTATTAAAGAGGTCATCCTAAACTAGACTCAATATTTAATAAGATTTACTCCATTCATCACGTCTGTCGTTGTGATCATGAAAAATTTATATTTCTGAATATATACGAGTTTCATCGTTGCAAAAAAATTGCACAACTTACTACTACAGGACTAATAATGTTTGTTTCGACGGCATTGACAATGATGATGTTGACCCTGATGTTTAATAAATCAAGGATGATCATTATAAAAAGATTTGCTAGCAATTGTCGCATTTATTTTTGGTTTAAATAATTGTCATTTTGTAGAAAAAAGGTGATTCTACTATACATTGAAATGTATAGCATTTATAGATGTCCCAATATAATTTAGCTACCAATTTGATATTATTTAGTAATATACATACATAGAAAACAAAATAATGTGTGAAATCATGAAACATAAAAAGAAGAAGTCTTGGCGCTTGTTGTAATGTTATCAAAAAATTCCTACCTACAATTTGTTTAACTATACCAAGAAATCCGTAAACAATTGGAAACATTTTGCTATAATTCTAACATTATACTACGTTGAAATTAGTAATATTTCTAAGCTTTATTGTTAACGCTGTGTTTCTACTATAATGAAAATTACTTTTCGATTAATAATCATCAGTTTTTGATAGACTACAGTATTTATTAACAGTGAAATAAACAGATTTCCTGGTATCAGAAAACAGCAAAATATCAAGAATATTGTAGACTGGTACTCGCATACATACATAATTTTATAAAGGCTTCGCTTCAGGGAAATTTTATGAATATATTTACTTGTAGTAAATGGTAAATGTATAGGTACGTCTTTCATATTAAACGTTATACATTTTAATATTAAATTAATTAATTTTGAAAGATCAGCTATCGATACTCACATGCGATCGCTTCATCGAAACATGTGTGACTGCAGGGCACAAGCGATTTAATTTGTGGAAATAATTTGCGTTACTGATCGGTATGAGTCACCCATCGCAAGGAATAATACGGAAATTTATAAATGATGTCTTCGACTGTTAATTAATATCAGGCGTGATTTTCCTTACCGATATCGACATTGCATTGCCCATGCATCCGATAAATCCATGACTTAAAGAACTACTCACAGAATACTGGAAATATTACCTAATTGCTGTTAATGTTAAATGTTATTTTAAGACGTTTGAGTGAATATCTACTATTGTGTAATGAATACTCACATAAATAATTAATTATAGAACAACAAAATGATAAGATGATTATCCAATAAAAGGATTTTCGCTCGATATTTGCAGATGTTATAGCAGTATTAGCATCTAGCAAAGAGGAGTTAGAAAAGTAAAACAAAAGTATTGGTATGCAAGGGAAGAAAAATTAGGGAAAGGGCGAAGATAAAGATAGGAGATGAAAAATTAGAAGAAGTGGCTGATTTTAGGCATCTAGGTCGTCAGATAAGTCAGGACGGAAGGAGTAGTAGGGATATAAAGCAGAGGGTAGCGCAGGGTCGAGTCGCCTTCAATAAAAAGAAGTCATTTCTATGTTCGCGAGCGGTTAATTTAGAAATTCTAAAACACTGTTAAATGTGTATGCTTGGAGCACGGCGCTGTACGGGTGCGAAGCATGGACAGTGGGCGCGGCGAAAAAGAAAATGTTAAAAGCTTTCGAAATGTGGTGTTATAGGCGAATGATGAGGATACTGTGGAAAGAAAAGGTTAGAAATGAAAAGGTATTAGAAAGAATAGGAGAACAGAGGACTCTATCGAAGTCAATAAGAAATAGGGGAGATAGGTTGGTAGGACACCTTCTCAGGCATGAAGATCTAGTCAGATACATATTAGAGGCAGAAACAGGAGTTAGGAGGGGTAGAGGTAGACCTAGATTAAATTACTCTTCGCAAATAGTTAAGGATGCGGATTGTTCTAGTTTTAGGGTAATGCGAAGATTAGTTCAGGACAGGAAAGAGTGGAGGTGTGTGTCCAACCAGTCTTAGGACTGACGACCTTGTGATGATCATGAATGCAGGTTTTCAAATATGATGCCAAAAAAAGGACAAAGGTCGAGTCAAAAAGAAACATGAGAAGAATCGACTCAAATAAAACGGTTTCTTATAATGTTTCTGGACCATTTTTTTCTGGTATATCCAATCGCTGTTATTGTCAGTCGATCTTTCGTTCGTTATTAGCGTTTAAACGACAGCTGACCGCTATAGCAACTAACGTTCGTGACTCGGCTCGAGAGGTCGAGGCAGCCGGTTTAATAATACCGCAAAATTTCGTCAAAACAAAATGTGCAACGGAGGTACGTAAGCTTTTTGAAACAAACCTTCGTCAATCCGGAGCATAATGGGCTTTGTAAGAACAAAATGACCACAAATCAATTCCTTTAATAATAAAGCTAACCGCACACGTTCAACAAACATATATGCACACAACAAACATACACCTGCGATTTCTACCTATATACAATCATGCAAATAGTACGCGAGCTTTTATACACACAATAATAACAAAAAGCTGTCGGCTCTTGACAGGAATATAAAAGCGCGCGGGTCGCGACACTTCGGTTTAGTAAGGTCTCGCACAGTGCGCGGTTTAGCTCGCGCGGCAGGTGCTACTCTCTCGCTTTTCCTACAAAATTTAATACATATTATCATTGCCATTATCTGTACGTAGATATCTCTCAATTGCACTGGCCTATCGTCGTTATCGTCGAAACTGTGCGAGATTGCAGCTCCAGGTCCTTCGTTATAGCTCACTAGTTGTCACTCGTTTTGTGTTCCTTGAATACACCGCGACGTTCTACATTTATTATTTTTTTCTTAAAACTATCCTTATTCGTACATATACAGTAAAGTACGTGTTCAGATAACGGACGGATTAGTTAAGTTTTAAATCAGTTAGTTTCCAATCATGAGCAGGTTTGTAATAAGCGCCGTGGTCCTTTTTATCGTAAGGATCACAGAATGTGCATCGCTGGGAAGTGAAACGTCTGCTTTGGTAAGTACTAGCTCACTTCACATTTGTTGTCGTACATAAAAATGTTTTTCAAATGAAAAACTATTTATTAAGTAATGTAAATTAATTTGTCCTTTTTCAAAATACTTTTTATTTAAAAATTAGTCTTCATGATGCTACTGTATTGGGTCCATTATGATTTGGAACAGCCTGCAGACTAATTTACGCGCTTTTGACCTAACAAAGGATTTCTGGGATATCTGTTTGCGTTTTAAGTTTTAAATGCATAAATACTCATTTATATATTTAAATCCATCAAGGTTTCTGAATTAAACCGTGTTTTACTACATAATCACGTTCTAAACGAAATCTTTATGGAAATACAAAAGTTATTTGTTTGTCAAAACAAAGAGGAACTAAGACAATAAAAATTTCGTAATATTAAAGCGTTCGGTTGCATGGATGATAGAGGAATTTAAATAATAATATCCTTGACTGACGATTCACGCCAACAGGCATTTCCTTTCGTTTAAAAATAATTTCCAGATCTTTTTGAAGTATCTTGTTTGGATGTTTCATATCTCTACCATATAAATTTATTATAATTATCCTGAATCCAAAAGGTATGAGTAATTTCAAAACTAATAAATATTTGAGTTAACTTCGAGAATTATTATGTTCAACATTAATTATTAAAAGAAGTGAACTGCTATTTGAGTCATTTATCGTCTGTTTGTAGGTATATTTTAATCTTTAACTTATTGATCCATCAAAAGCTGGTTGCTACAAACGTTGAAATGTAGGTGAAATTCACCAGCAAAAGAAAAATAGATGGTCAGATTCATGAACAGTACACTTATATATTGCTTATACAATACATAAGAGAAATATGGTTTTGATATAAAATAAGCCAATAATTAATCCACAAATACATAATTTTCGTAGCTGTTTCAGGGTAGTTGAATTTTTAATTATCTGAACAAATTTACTTTTGAATTTGATGCCTTGTTTTCCACAAACAAATTTAAATTGATTGCTTTTGTTATATATACTGTAGAGTTGTTTTTAATTCAAACATTTGTATTAGCATTTTTGACTTAAAGAGAAAGTTGGTTAAATGCAAAGTGAACTGATTTACTTGAATATTATATCAATACATGTAGGTAATATAAAATTAAAGTCGATTTATAATTTGAAATGTTCTATTATTTCATTTAGAACAGGTCCTTTCTAGATGTGCATTTATAAAATTCATTTATAGACACCGTAGATGGAGTAGGTACATGTTTAATACCTAACAGAGATTGTACATTCTCAATTATATCATAATTACGTTATCTTTTTGATTAATTTAACGTTGTACATGTTGAGACTATTGAATTAGCAACATTTTCTATTCGCAATTTTTTTTTAATATCTTGTGTTTCGTAGTAGGTAATGTGTAATTAAATATTACTTCTTATTTTTCTCTAATGAATGAACACATTAGAAGACCAACTATTAAATGACACACTTATGATAAAACAATGTGTTGTTGACGTATTCTAATAGATTCAGAATGTGACCATTTGCTATAGGCGCCTCACCATTCATAAAATTTTAATGTGATTTAAACAAAATGCTATTATCATATAAATGGAAACGTGAATCATTATTATTAATAGTATTTTCGTGTTGTAGTATTGCATTTATTCGGTTTGTATATTTATTTAAAATGGTTAAGATAAGCAGTAATGATAAGATTAGGATGAGTCATTTGTCACATTTGTTGTTATTAAAAGCATGTAGTAATTATGTTTTTAAATTAAATTTGTCATATTGCTTCAAGCAATGCTTTCGGCTGTTTAGCGTTTCACGAATAAAATTACCTGTGACATAAAAATCGCGTCTGGTTGAATTAAATAATTGTTGCTTAAGTTTCATTTTCTATTTTTAGCGTTTGGAAGTATTACATTAGCGGTCTATTTGTTTAATAAAGAACTGTAATCTTATACTTACATTATACTGCAGATAAAGTGGGTTATCTCATTAAAAGCTAGTGTATTTATCATTAAAAGGGGTGGCATACTTATTCATTTATTGTGTAATGTTTGGCTTTGTTACTTTTGACTAGCCTAATTTTGAATACGTACTCTTGACTTATGATAAAAATACACCAAATATTAACCTACCTTACCAATTATGAATAAAATATATATCTACAACAAAAAAAAAACAAATTTCAATTTTATTAGTTTATATACCATCCAATTGATCAGTGTTGCTCGTCATTGAAACTACATGTGCATTTAACGAACACAAAAATTATTATTTTTCATTGATTGTGAGCTGTGAGGTCACGTCGGGGATTTTAATAATGTGTCATCTATAAAGGAAGTACAAATGGTGTAACCACGAATAATAAAAAAGTTACGAAAACTGGCTAATTAACCTTGCTTAGACACATCCGATTAAACGGAAGTTATTTTCTAATTCAGTTGTAGTTTCTGTCGTAGGTATGAACTTGCCGTATTTGCAAATGGTAAACGGACTTCCACGTTAATTAAAGTAACACCAAGGTATTAACGCGTTCATACTTGATGGTCGAGTTATTAGTCACAATCCATCACACTATTATGGTAGATAGTAAAATTATTGGCAGATTGAGTTTACGTCATCATATAACTTGGTCCGTACGAATCAATCTAAAAAGTAAAACCACCAATTTTTTGACGTGTTAGTTTCGTTTAAATATCAATATTCGGTCATAGGATGACGAACTTTATTTATCGATATTTTCCTTCTAGTTTTAAATACTTTCCTTATCTTCTTTGGATAATAACGAAAATACCCGTTATCGCATAGAGTAAACATTATCATTTGTTTTAAACATTACCTACGCGTAAATTTTTCTGAAAGTTTGGTTGCAAAATCGTATGAATACAAGCTATACGAGCATATTGTTCAGAAAACTAGTTTGTTCAGTTGTTCCTTTCTAGGGAAAGGTGTCCTACTTAATAAATTGGACGTAAATGTAAACCAATTTACTTGTGAATTTAAATTTTCTAACTGAAAGGACAAAAATCAATTTCAGTTTGCATTTAACACGATTTAACAACTCCATTTATAAAAGCTATTCGGTTCCCATTTAACATAACCACATCGATGAAAGAAACGAATTGCAAAGCGTTAAATTAATTTGTGTCTACTCCGTCTTGAATCAAATTTTTCTAGCCTAGAGTGGCCCATTGTATTTATACCATGTAGCATGATTTTTGCCATGAAGACTAGAAGGTTGGTGATCTAATTTCAAAAAATTGTTAAAGAGGGAATTAAAAGACCTGACCTTCCATTTAAAAATTAAAGGGTGATGTCTCTCTCCGCTTTGGAGTTGAAGTAACATGAATGATTACAACCAAAATCGACGTACTTATCTGATCTTTTTGCACAAAAATCATGCTAAATGGTATCAAATGTTCTACTTGTACTTGTTGCAGATTTAATTTATACAGAAAACATGTTTTCTGATGACGTAAATTGTTCGTAAAATTAATTCTAATGTATTTTAGAATATAAATACCCACTGTTGAGTGGAGTTTGAGTTTTAAGAAACTAACTGTTGAAGGGCAAAGGACATTAACATATCCCAAAGGATGAGGGTTCTACGAAGGGCCTGTCCAACAAAACAATTTGGGTGAAATAGATGTGCATAATTTAAGCGCAAGATGGAACTAATTAGGGGTTGCTAAACGTCTTGGATGTCTTGAGACCTCTTAGAAGCAAAAACGCGACAAAGTACGCTCAGAATTAATGAAATGGGCGTTTAATGGAAGTTTGATTATTCAGGAAATGTTAGACATTTTTCTGCTCAAGTTTACTTCGATATTGGAATTCCTTTAAGTTGTTGGGACACTACAGGAAGCCCTGTAACTCAATATCGTGTTTTATTAAAGGATAAAGTGAATAAAACGATTGTGAAAAGTACTCGAAAAGTTGATATCCTGTAGGATCCGTTAAAATTTTAAACGAATTCATCAAAATTTAATATTGAAGAATCAGCAATTTGGACTGAATTTCTGTGAACACATTTTTTTGTTGTGGTACAAGTTGACGAACTTTGTAGGTACTTGAGTGGCTTTATTATTAGCTGCTGAAATCGATCTAAAAACATGTCGTCGCTAAAAAAATCAAATACAAAATCTCGAAGATTTGATATCTCAAAAATTCTCTTCATCATCATAAGGTCGTCGGTCAGTCATGAGACTGGTTGGACACGCACCTCCACTCTTTCCTATTTCGAGCTAATCTTCGCATTTCTTCAAAACTAGAACAACCCACATACTTAACTATTTGCAAACAGCAATCTAATCTAGGTCTACCTCTACTCCTCTTAACTTCTGTTTCTACCTCTAATATGTCTCTGGTTAGGTCTTCATGCCTGAGAAGGTGTCCTACCAACCTGTCTCGCCTATTCCTTATTGACTTCCGTAGAGTCCTCTGTTCTCCTACTCTTTCTAATATCTCTTCATTTCTAACCTTCTCTATCCACGGTATACTCATCATTCGCCTGTAACACCATATTTCTAATGCTTCTAACCTTTTCTTAAAAACTCAAATTTGGCCATTTTTGTTTTTTGATCAAAATTTAACCCTTTTTTTGAATTGAAAACACAGTAGTAAAGACACCTAATGTGGATAAATCATGTACACTCATAATAATCATTAACTAAAGTTATTTCATTGGTAACTTTCGGGGAATACTTGGTATAGCATCAGGTCAACTTGGACACTTTTGTAATTCTCTTTGATTATTAACCAATTTATGTAAATTGATCGATTCTTGTCAGAAATATATTCGTAAAACTTGTCTGGCTTCCTGGTTCTTGACATTCCATTGAAAGTGAATAATAGCGAGTTCTTCGTCATTGCAAGTGAACGTTCATACCTGGATTACTAATTTTTGATGCATGATGATGCGTATCATTTCTAACGAAACTGATTCTGCATACACAATTTCTCATTGTTTTTCGAACACTTGCAGAATATTAAATTGGCTACAATGG